AAGACCGCTTCCTTTGCTGGGCCCAAGTTTCTCCCTCCCGGCCTTCAGTTTACCCTTTACACATGCCCTCACTCTTTCTCTGAGCTCAGAAAGCAGTAGGTTCCTAGCATAAGGACATAGGACATCTCACGGCTCCAAGTCTTGCTCTGTAAGGGATGGCTCAGGCCGCTTCCTCAGATGCAGATGTGTTTTGCCATCTCTCAAGGCAGACTGACCCTAGGTGACAGGATCACAGTCTGCCCAAAGACTGGCACAGCTGCTGGACGGCCTGTCTCAGCAACATGACCCTTTCTGTCCCTGGAGCCCTGGCAAGAGCTCTTCCATCCCAGCGAGCAGTCCTTAGAGAGGCCAGCTCCTCAGGGATCCCGGAATGAACAGCTGCTACTCCTCCCATCCAGGCCAGGAAAATGCCTGCTGTGTGTGGGCAGCCACTTGGGGCAGGTTCATAACCCACAAAAAAATCCCCCTTTCCCTTCACCTCCAAGGAGTTTAATCTCTTCTAATCAATTTAGCAGACTCGCTTGGTTGTAAACGGTAATGATTTGCATTTTTGAGCCTTTTATCCTCCTTACAAAAAAAAAAAAAAAAAAAAAAAAAAAAAAGCGTCCTCTCTGCTCTCTGGAAAGCCTGTGAATTGCTTGTTAGTGCTCACCCTGGCTCCCATCCAGCCTCGACATCAGCTGCTGTCACCTGCGCCACTGTCTGTGTGAGTATGGAACGCGGCTCAGGGGAGGCCTGCAGCCCTGACCCTGGCTGTGACATGTCATCTGGTCCTTGGGGGACACAGGCCTCTGTGCCCATTGGAGCCCACATCCCTGCTGCCTCTGCATAGCTCCCCAGCTGCTGCATCCAATTTTCCTTGTTGTATTTTTCATAAGCAAGAGGCTCCGAAGCCCTGCTTCCTTGGTGTGTTCAGCAGAAAGCAGATGTCTGAAGAAGGCTGGCTTTGGGACTTGAACTGTCACTTACGGGGGGGGGGGGGGCCGGTTGGGTGGGAAGGGTCCCAAGTATGGCTCTGACTTCCCTTGCCAGTGGCAATGAAGGAGGAAGCTCAGGCTGGGAGGCCATTCCTGACACACTGCCCACCCTTCTACAGTCCACACAGGCCCTTCCCACCCAGCAGCTCTTCCCCACTGCCCTGAGCCCATTAGAAACGCCCAGCCTCAGCATGGAGGGCTGCTCTCACAGGGCTTCTAGGAAGCGAGAATCTGCCCCAGTCACCCTCATTTTAAAGCAGGGAGATGGAAGCCTCCCACTTTTTTAACTGGCTCCTAGCTCCCTTGGGGGGCTGAGCTGGGTAGCTGGCACACTGGAAACCCTAGGAGAGGGGTCCTGAGAGACGCCATGCCCATCAAGAAGGAAGGAGAGGCACGGCAGCATGGAACAGGGGTGAAGGGAAGGTTGGTCTCCTCCTCCTAGCCACAGCTGTCACCTCCCCTGCTAGCTATCCAAGGCAGGATCCCCCAGAGAGGGCCACAGCAGGGCTCCAGTTAAGGAGGAGGCAGCCTTTGTGAAGATGGAGGCTTCCTCAGGAAGAGGATGCAGACGAGGGAGGAAAGGGAGCTTTTGATTCACATCATGTCTGTGGAATTGAGTATGACTAATTAATAGATTTTATTCTTAGTAATCTCTTAAGCATTCCATACGTTGGGCCCCACGCCTGAGCTGAGCCTACCAGAGGCTTCATTCGCAAAATGCAAATGCCTGTGGCCCTGCTGCCTCTCCTTCCTCGCCTTTTCTCCCATTTTTTAAAAGAAAAAATTTAAAGTAAAATTGCCATGTAATAGGAAAAAAGATTCCAATCTCTGCATCTAATTACCACAAAGGGTAAACCACTTAACCAAAGAAGTGTCATTGGCTTTTTTTTTTTTTTTTTTTTTTTTTTTTTTTAAGTTTAAATTTGCCTTAAATGCCACAGAATACACTCCTCAGGGCTGAGGCCACTGAGGTGGCTCTGGCTGGTGAGAGCCTGTGGGGGGTCAGGCCGTCCTGCCACAGACTTCCCTGTGGAAATGCCAGCTGCACTGAGACAGAATCCCATAGGCCTTTCAGTGTCACCCCCAACTTCCCTCAGCCTCCTCTACTGAAACCTGAGGCCAGAAGCCAGGTTCTCTGTCTCCTTTGGAGAAGGGGACAAAGGTTACACTTAGGGGCTTTCTGCAAGGATGCTGGGAGTGAGTTACTGGAGATCTAGCTCAGTGGTAGAGTGCTTGCCTTACATGGCTAGGCCCTAAACTCCATCTCCAGTATTCCCCCGTTCCCAACACACAGCATAAAGGATACTGGGAAAATGTCAAACCGAGAAGGGACAGAAATGGCACAGGAAGGGCTCTCAGGAGCTGCAGGGTCATGGCTGGGCAGTGTCCACACTGACCAGCAAGTTGTGTTCCTTAGAGGGCAATGCCAGCCCTGGGCTCTCCAACTGGGTGTAATATGGAGTGAACCCCACTAGAGCAGGTTGATTTGGTCCTCAAGCTTTGACATTCTGCCTGTGACTAACAAGGCTCCGGTGGGGCAGGTTTACTCTGAGTGATGGGGGAGAAGTTTGCCACAGCTCAGGCAGCTCTAGCATTTGGCCCACAAGTTCCTGGATCTCTGAGTAGGGCAGCTCCAGGGCTCTTAAAAGTTTTCCTGGCCACCAAAGAGAGTGACTAAAACCTTCTTGGGCAGGATGAGTCTACCGCACTGGGTAAATTACAGATGCAAAGTAGGGGTGGGGACTTGGGGTTTTACTTTCCTGTGGCCCTGGAAAAGGCTGGCATAGTGCCCTTGATGCCTTGTTCAGCATGTGGGACTCTCCTACACACACTTATTCCTCACAGATGGGTCTCCTCTGGTCTGCCTAAGCTGCCATGACTAGGGTGCTATTATTATGGTCACTGGGGACAGCTGGGCTCCAGGGCACATATTTATACAGACCTGAATCTGAGGTCCGGGCACATTTCTTTCTTGACCTCATGTGAGGTCAAGACTTGAGATAAAGAGGGGAGAAAGGTCTCCTTTGGAATGATCTATGTCCTTACCCTTTGGCCGTTCCCTGGGGCTGATAGGATGGGGGTCTCCATTTGGTGTGTTGACCCCTTGGGCTCTGATCAGGAGCCTGTGCCTCTTTCCACTACTCTGGGGCACCTGCTGGGTCCATTTCTTTCAATCTCATCTCTTCACGGAAGGGCCAGTTGGCTCTTTAATGTCCAGCAAGAGGATGGCCCCCCAGGTACACTTCGGGCAGCTGCCTTTGCTTTGGACAGAGTGGCAGAGGTCTTTTGGAAACATCTCATCTGGCTGCCCTCAGACCAGCATCTTCCTTTGATGACTTTTTTCCCCCAGTGCAGGACAAAGCAACACATTGACAGATGATGCCCTGGGCTCCCCAGTACAGGACGAAGCAGACATCAGAGCCGCAGGCACTGCTCTTCCTCCTTTCTGGATTTGCTGTCATTATTTTATCATCGTTTTAATCTCATGGCTCACCACACTGTGGTGTCACTTGATAAATGGTAACGACATTGATTCCACAGGGAGGGAGTAAAATCTTAGCTCTTCTGAGGGCCCTGGTCAGTATCCTTTTGGAGGTTTTTTTTTTTTTTTTTTTTTTTTAACTTAACAAAGAAATCTGATTTTTCCCTCTTGAGAACAGAGCCCCTGATGTGGGCATGGCTGAGATTTGTGTGTGTGTATATGTCTCTAGGGATTTTCTGGGGGGGGGGGAGTGGTTTTATTTTTCTCTTTTCTGGGCTTGCTTTGAGCAGCCATGGAAACCAATAGGTCTAGCCAGCTGATGTGTGTGTGTGTGTGTGTGTGTGTGTGTGTGAGACACATATATTTATAAACTGTCCCTGCACTAATTACCTATCCCAGGAGAAAGAGTAAACACTATAGCGGGGACGGGATCTATGGGGGGAGGGACAGAGGAGGGCACTGGTCATCAAGGAAAGCTTTCCCCATATCAGGAAGGAGAGTGGCCTGGCTCTGGGCAATGTGACATAGGGTGGAATCCAAAGCACCCTCAGCCAGATTCTTCCTAACTCCACTAGGATGCAGATACCAGTGCCTCTAAGAAATGGCAATGCCATCCACCTGGGCTGAGGCCCCTCCCATCCACCTCACTCTCACCCCACACATGATCTACTTACTCAATGATTTCTAGGAGAAAGCAAAATTTTTGCCATTCTATTGTCTGAGGGAATGTCACAGACTGGCCCAGGAAGTTCTGAGAGGACAGACAGGCAGCTCTATGTACCCATCTGTACTGAGACAAATGGCATGGCCATAGGCAGGCAGGCAGATGCACTTCCACATGGCAGGGAAAGCAACAGCTTCCGTCAGAGCTTCTACAGAGTTCGGTGAATGGAACCGAAGCGCTCAGCATTGGAAGGAAAAGTTTGACTGTTTTTGTTTTGCGTTTTTCTTTTAATTGACTATGGTATTGTTTGGAGAATACCACGGAGGATGCCATATTTCTGCAGATCTGGAAAGAAAACAGCATGGAAAGTACCAGGGAAGAGATTTCAGGACAGCATCTCCCTAGCAAAAAGTCGTCTTTCGAAGGGTGGTAGTGGGGCACGCCTTTAATCCCAGCACTCGGGAGGCAGAGGCAGTCAGGTCTCTGTGAGTTTGAGGCCAGCCTGGTCTACAGAGCTAGTTCCAGGACAGCCTCCAAAGCAATACAGAGAAACCCTGTCTCAAAACAAAAACAAAAACAAAAACAAAACAAACAACAAAAAAAAGTCGTCTTCCCTTAGCTGTTTTGTGAGTTGTCATCCGTGAGCAGCCAGCAGGATGGTTGTATGGGGCTGCATGCCATCATGTCTGTCATCTCTTTCTCTCTGATGACCCTGAATGAAACTCGAGGTCTACACAAATGTTGTAAAGGTAGTATCAATCTGGTTCGGGGGGGGGGGGAAGTCCCAATCCAACCCTTCCTGTGAGATTATTTTTAGTCCTTAACTCTCATGATCCGGTATAAATTACGTCTCCTTCTATGTATTTAAAAATTTTTTTTACCCCACTATTGTGTTTACCAATCCTCCCCAAACTTTGCTTTCTGCTGGAAAAGTCACTGTGGAGTTTCTCTTCCTGGCTCCTGGTGTTGCAGTGGGCTAGCAGAGCCATGTGAGCACACAAGGGTGGCCAGCTTCATGTGTAGGAGTAGTCCACATCAGGGATGCCACCATCCCGGTAGCCCCGTGTAGTGCCATAGCCAATAGTGTGGGCGCCCTTGCAGAGGCTGCTGCCATTGGAGGGGAATATGGTATGTACCACATACTCCTCTTTTGAGCGGTATGGGTTGATGGGCAGCATCTGCAGTCCTGGGCCTCGGATTTCCAGAATGGAGTTATCCTTCTTGGTCCCTGACTCCATGTAGTCATCCTTTTTCCTGTTGCCCCTGTTGTAGACCCTTTCTCGGGTCAGCAGCTCACCAGCCCGGTGTACGTACCAGCAGATGGCCCCCAGGACAAGGAAGAGGAAGACAAGAGCTACGGCACCACCAATAATGCCAGCCAGGGGCAGCCCTGCCATAGGGCCAGCATTCTGTTCCTGATTGAGCGTGGTGGTAGGGCCGTAGTTATCAGCCGTCTCTGCCTTGGCACACACAGGTGTCTCATCAGCCACATAGGTATTGCCAGTCTCCATGGTGACCATGCAGATGATATAGGTGGACTTGGGCTCCAGGGCGGTCAGCAAGTACTCGGTCTTGTCTCCCTGCACCAGGGTCTCTGTAATAGAGCCCACAGCTGGGCTGTGACCCAGACGCAGCCAACTGAGCCGGAAAGAGGAGGCCGGTAGCATAGCCTTCCATGTGATTCTGATAGAGTCTGCTGTCAGTGGCTTCACCTGGATGACCAATGTCTTGGCACCATCACCAGTGGCCATGGGGTAGTCAATGTTGGAGTCAGGGAGGCGCAGTCCTGGCCTCTTGGCCTTGAGGGTAAACAGAGAGCCCTGTGGTGTGGTGGCAGAGGCATGGTTGCTGGCTGTGGTCTTGGCAGCTGCATTGGCTGCACCGCCTTGTGACCCCGCCTCAAAGCACTCATCCATCTCACTGGTGATATCTTTGATGGCCATGCCCCGGACTTTCTCAGGGCCCTGACACATGAGACCCCGCACATTGACCACAGCAGCTCGTGCCTTCACCCAGTCACGCAGCCACATGAGGTTACAGCCGCAGAACCAGGGGTTGTTTCTGAGAAGCAGCTGTGCCAGGTTCCCTAGGTCATCAAACAGGCCTCGAGGCAGTGTAGTGAGGTTGTTATTGGACAAGTCCAACCTCTCCAGCTCCCGCATCTTGGCCAGTGTGTTGTAGGGGATGTGGCTGATGGCATTATCCTGCAGGTAGAGCTTCTGCAGGTGGGCACTAGGCAGGTTGAGGGGCGGGGCAGCCAGTGAGTTTCGTACCAGTGACAGCTCTGTGAGGTTCTGCAGGCGGCTGAAGGTGTCATCAGCAATACGCTGGTTGGCCAGCAGGTTGCCATCCAGAACCAGGCGCCGCAGGCTGTTGAGACCCTTGAATGCATGTAGCGGGATGGTGGAGATGCGGTTGTCATCTAGCCGAAGCTCTTCCAATGTGTGGGGCAGCCCCGATGGGATGCTGCTTAGGTGGTTCCGGCTCAGGAAAAGTAGCTTGAGCTGCTTGCTGTCAGCAAAAGCATCATCCTCGATGCTCACAGTGGAAACAGAATTGTCATCCAGGTGCAGCTTCTCCAGCAGTGGGATTCGAGCCAATGAGTCCCTGGCAATGGTGCGCACATTGTTGTCTTGTAGATGAAGCTCGCGAAGGGAGCGGGGCAGGTTGATGGGGAATTCATCCAGGTCATTCTCATACAGGTAGATGACCTGTACTTTGACCTTGGTCTTGAGGTCCTGAGGGATGCCTGCATTGTTGATCTGGTTGTTCTGCAGGTAGAGGGTGGTGGCATCATCAGGGATGTCAGAGGGGATGGATGTGAGTCCCCGGTCGTTGCAGTAGATGAAGCCATTGTCACAGCGGCATACTGATGGGCAGGTGGTGCTATCGATGACCTCTGTGAGGAAGGCAATGAGCCCATAGCAGAGAAACAGCCAGTCCCGCAGGTCCATGGTGGCCGTGGTCATCACAACAGTGGCTGTGACGGTGGCAGTGGGTGTGGTGGTAGTGGTGGCAGTAGGGTGTGCCACCACCATGGTGGACAGCTGGTGGAGGCCTGACCCACCTAACCTGGAGTCTCAGTACCTGTGAGGAGCACAAGATAGGTGTGCTGAGTTCAAGGAAGTGGTAGGGCCTGGGGAGGGGGAGCATTAAAGTTGAGTCCTGCAGGGCTGAGGCCAGGTGGCAAGGGAGGCCTGTTTTGTGCCAATCTGGAGAAAGGTAAGCTCCCTAGCCAGGTAACTCTAATGAATAATGTTCACTGTGAATCTCATTGGGAGAGTCTGGTCCTTGAGAGAAGCCAGCACCTTAGGTCATATAGTGTGTGCTGCTGCAATCTGAGCTGTGACCTCACAGCCTCATTCATGATAAGCCACCCACCTTTAAGGGTCTCACAAGTGGGGCCAGCCAGTGGGATGGGTTTCATGGATGAGCTATTATTTCCCACAGGACTGGGACAGGCCCAATTCTGGCATGGACTCAGGGTCTGAAGGAAAAGCTTGTTTCTGGGAGGCTGTGAGCTTAAGAGGCATATATCGCCAGGAAAGACGAAGTCAGCGTTGTCACTGGTGGGCAGTGGAGAGCACTGCGCTCATTGTCTGGTGGTGAAACGCCATGTCCTGTTTGTCACCCATGTGTTTCGTATACGGAAGAATGAGGTGTCAACAGATCTGACTCTGGGCTCTGTGTTCTGTCTTTTCTGGGGTACTATTCCACACCTAGTCTCTCCCCAGCTGAAGTCACAGGGCACACACACACACACGCGTGCGTGCACGTACACACACACACACTCGCGTGCACACACTCACACACGTGTGCACACACACACTCACTCACACATCAGCTTCAGTGATTTAAAGAAATGGGACAAATAAAGGAGGGAGGTGTTGTCTGCACTCTGAGGAAATTTTTCTGCAAGGTGTAATTTCAGTTTTCGCAAATAGAAAAATTGCAGCATAGAGTTTTCTCATTATTTTACTGTTCACAGTGGTAAAAAATCAATTAAAGAGAAATTATCTTTCAATCTCGGTAAAAAAAAAAAAAAAAAAAAAAAAAGGTGTCTTCATACAGCCAGCAAAGGTCTGCAGTAAAACTCAGGGTCAAGGAGGCTTTCAGGGTAGAATGTGATGGCTTTTCGGATCTGATCCGAGGGCCTGGCCTGGGAGGACAGCTCTGGAGTGTGGAGCATGACCGGCTGGCTCCTGCTGAGTGACCAGTGGGGACCTCACCACCATGCTCTAGGAGCCAGGCCTCTCCATTTCTCAACACACCACAACTTCTCACCGGTTTCTCTCTGCCCCGGCAGCTCTTCTCCATCAGTGACCTCCTCGGCACCCTTCAGGACACTGAGAACATTCCAGCCCCTACCAGGCCTTCCAGCTGGTCTGCTCTGGCTGTGCACTCTGCCATGCATCACTTTGTCCAATCCACCCATCTTCCTACTCACTCACTGATCCAGCCTGCCTGGCACAGGTGACCATGGCCCACTTGCTTTGCCGCCGAGTTCCCGAGGCTTTGGTCTTCCCTGCACACTGAGCCCCTCTGTCCCACCATCCATCTTGCCGTGGTTCACTGTAGTCTTGTTTCCTTGTTAGTCCTCAGCAGAAGCCTTGACATCAAGTGGGGCCCTGCTGAGGCTTCCTGGACCCCTTCTCCTCTCACTCAATGTCTTGCAGTTCCCTAGCCCGCCTCCCCCACTCATCTGCCCAAATTCCTCCACATCCCAGTGGCCAAAGCCAGGTAGTGGGCACTGAGCCATTTTGTATTGTATCCCTCTCTGTCTGAAGCAGCTGGACCCACCCTGCTGCCCCAAGACATATTTCCCTCTTCCTAGAGCTGATCTTCAGAGACACACGCTGCCCCTACACTTCCTGAAGGTGAGGCCTTACCTGGTCACCTTGAAAAAACTGTAAACCCAAAATATGCCTTCTCTCTGTTCAGGGTTTACAGACTCATCACCAATTCGCATGTGCTTTACTTTAGGGCTTTGGGGTACCTTAGCCATTAGGGTGTAGCCTAGTAGTTGGTGCACAGCAGGCCCTGATCAAGTTTTTCTACAAAGAAATCTGTACTGACCCATTGTGAAGAAACGGAGGCACAGCCCTGATGGCAGGATGTGCTCCCAGGCCTACAATCTCATTGCATCACTCACACTCTGCAGAGACAGGCCCAGCCAGCCTGGGCTTTGCTATTGGCTGGGGCTAAGGGCTCTCTTGTCTTCACCAGACTCCTGTTGTTCTTCTGTGTGTGATACAGGTATCCCAAGCTGCTCCAGTTCTGACCCAATCCTCTTAGCCTTAAGACAGCAGGCACACCCAACAGAGCTTACCCCTTGAGCCAGACCTACCAGTCTTCATAGGCATCCCATGCAGCGTACCCTCAATGTGTTCCTGTGCCTGATGGTCACACATATAGCCCGTTGTTCCATTTCATAACTTGAAGCCTACAGTACAGAGAGGTAAGAGCCCTGCCATTCCAAAGTCACAGACACACAGACTTCCTGCTGCACACCTGTCTCCTCTTAAAGGAGCCTGAAGGTCCGTCCCATCACAAGTCACTTTGTGAACAGGGCTGAGGAGTGGGACAGGACAAGGCTGGAGACAGAGAGCTTTGGCTTTCTCCTAGGCTGCCTGAGCCCAAGTTTGGCCAGAAGATATGCCTGCTCCTGGCCAGCTGATGAGTTCTATCTCGAGGGACACAAGCAGCCTCTGCCCTTGGCCGTTCTGGGCCAATACCCTGAGCAGGGCCAGACTTGTTAAGGCCAAAGCCAAGGCTGCCACCACAGTCTCTGGCATAGACATCTGTTCTCCCGTTTAGCTCATGGCCACAGTCCCCAGCCTCCAGAGACTCTGCATCATAATAGAGTCTAAATTGCACCTCTCAGAGATATTTGATGGATAATGGAGCAGCAGTGGGAGGCAGGGACCCAAGGCCTTTCCACTCCCCTATCTGCTACCCATCCATCTTGTCCAAATGTCCCTGGCCACCCTGCTTCCCCAAGGCCAACTCCAGTCTCAGCTCCAGGAGCTTTAGGAACAGGACAGACTGGGCTGGGGAGGGAGACTGCACCCCCTCTAGAGGAGTCCTTAAACTGCCTGGACGCCTGTTGGCCTTTTCATTCCCCTTTGTGTTTGATAGTTTATGTGGCCATCAAATTAAACCTGGTAAATTGCCCATCTTTTACAGGATCACTGGTCATCATTGTGGGGATCACACAGATGAGTGTGGTATGAGTTACAGACTGCCAGTTCTGTGACAGACAGCAGGATCCAGATGCTCCATTGGAAGGGTGCAGAGAGACAGTTCAGGCTGGTGACCTCCCTTAGCTGAGGGGCATGAGGGAGGCCTGGGGTAGTTACTGGCTTCTACCAATGGCCAGGGCAGAGTGCAGTAGGTTCTATGTCCTCATCTTCCTCCTCTGTCTGTGTGGTTGACAGTTGCTCTTATGAGAGAATTTAAGGGGATGAGGTTATATGTGCAGAGTACCCCACATGCAGAATGTCCTTCCTACGTACAGCCTGTGTCCCCCAGGCTACTCACTTCGTCCTATACACGGGCAGCCTCTGTGTTAACTGCCCTTCTGTGCCTCTTCTTTACGCCCCGTGCCCACTGTGCCTCCTGTGCTTGCATTCCGTCCAGCCATGCACGAGAGGGGAAATGGGTGGGGCTGCTGCAGCTTTCAAAATCTCAGGGCCCTGAGCATTCGGACATGCTGCACGCACCGCTCTGCTTCCCCGGGGCCTTTGGGCTTGTTCCTACCCCCACCCCATTCTGTGAGGGATACTGGCTAAGACAATGCAGGGGCAGCTACAGATCCAAGGCCCGGCTTGGACATCCTACAGGGGATGGCAGTTGTTTTATGGCCTTGGAGGGGACATGGGCACAGGAAGTGGGGGGGGGGGAGAACTGAGCCAGCTGGGCACATTCCCAAAGGAAGCCAGGCTGGAGAAGATGGAGGATTGGGCAGACTACCCCTGCCTCCTAGCCCAGCTTCTTTTTTTGTTTGTCAATGAAGGCTCCCTGGAGGGGGTGAGTATCAGGCACAGTCTCAGCTCCCATTAGAAACAGATGTCCAGATGGTCCCTCCCAAGGAAGAAGGCCATGTAGAAAGGGCAGAGGCTCACAGCCTAGAACCCCATGGCCTTCCCAGCACTAACCAAGCCCTGGGAGATACTCCCTGGGTCTGTTTACTCTGCTGTGTTTGCTGAGAACCCACTTTTCTGCAAAGAAGGCCCAGCTAGACCTGGGGGACAATCTACCCCATTCTGCCCCATGTCCCCATGTGCTTCTCATCCTGGAAGCTGGCTTCCTGTCTGTCCTGTAATGGCCTCAGCCAGCCCTTTCCTCCTATTGCTCCCAAAGACCTGGGGAGGGGCAAGCGGTGCTCCTGACGCCAAAGGCCCTGTGGCCACAGCCCGGCCTTTCTGGGGATACTGGCTCAGGCCTTGTGGCTGCCATGGAACTGAGTGATGCCATTTTCTATTTACAGAGTTCATCCCAGTCACTTCCCAAAGCCAGCAAGGGAACAAAATGTCATATGTCCTATTGCTACTGATCCAAGCCTTGCTGTGGCTTCTCTCCACCCCCATTGTTGGGGTGGGGGATTTGACCCCAGACAGGGCAATTAGAAAAGGGGTGACCTTTGATCATAGCATGCCTATGGAGAGGGCAAATGTGTGTAGTTATATGGATGTTAGTTTCCTGAAGCTGAATAATGGAAACCGCCCTTGTGGACCCCAAATCTTCCAGTTTCTCCTCCTCCATCCCCAAATTGTGGGCTCTGGTGGTGTCCTATTCCCTCCTGGAATTCACAGTGACTTTCCTAAATCTTCTGAGGCTTCCAGGTCCTTCTAAAAGGCTGAGCCTGATGCTGAGGCAAATAAAGCTAGAAGCAGCACTCAAGCCCACCAAGGGGGGGGGGAGACTGAGAGGGTCAGCCCACAGGGTGTGGCGATTGGCACTTACCCTGCCCTACCCTGCTGGGGCTGCCTCTATCTCTGTCAAAAACTAGTGAAGGGTCCCTCAGTTTCTCATCCAATAGCTGGCAGCCACTTTTGAGGCTCAGCTGCAAAGAAGACTGAGGGAGG